CACCACCCAGCGCTGTAGCAAAGGCACAGGACCCCGGGCACTGGCCTGTCTCTGCTGTCAGAGCTGGGCATACCAGTCCTCCCCTCCCTGAGATTTGGCCTCCTCGCCTGTGAAATGGGGGTCATGGGTCTTCCTCTCTGGTTGTAAAACCCCAGTCACAGTGTCTGACCTACAGCAGATGGCCCATTAATACTGATTTTCTTCTCTTTCCCTTTCTCCCTTTCCCCCTTCCCTCTGGAGGCACAGAGGGACTGGATCAAGTTGGGGCGAGATAGAGTGGGTAAGTGATGAGCCAAGAAAAATTATCCTGCAAGCATGACGTGTCGCACGTCAGCAAGGCTGCAGCCTTGGATTCTGACGTCTGGAGAAGAGTGATTCACCTCTGAATTCTCACAGCCCTGGCCTCAGAAAGACAGCCCGGGACCAGGTCTGAGGGCACCCCTCTTCCCAGCTCTCAGCCAGGGCGGAAGGCACAAGTGATGGCCCTGGCCTCAGCAGTCACACTGCTCCTGAAAGCTGACTGGCTGCACCTCACCTCTTGGCTAGCTTGCCACCCAGCTCTTGAGAACATGTTTGTCCAAGGCCTCTTGGCAGGTCTCGATGGCTACTTCCCCAAGGGCCCCCAGTCACCTGCTAAGGCTCCCAGGCCCCTGTGAAACTGGCTTGGTGCCCCAACAGCCTCTCCACTTCCAGAGCCTGACCCGGCCAGCCCAAAGTGCAGCAAGGCACCACACCTACCCTGGGAGGGTACTTGGGCCCCCGCGCTGGCCTCTTATAGCACAGGAAGCTCCTGCACTCACGCTAAGGCCCGTCTTTTGCCCTCCTTGGATAAACTTGCCAGAAACCCCATACTGTTCCATGCCTTTGGGATAATTCCCCTGAGCCCCATAGGCCAGGGCCTGGCATTCAGTAGTTGCTCTAAAATTGTGTTTTCACCCACTCTCCTCCAGGCAGTCAGGACAGGGGAGCCCAGGCCTCTGGTCACTACTGACCAAGTCTCTCCCCTGCCCCTCTATCAGGGATTGGCTCCGATAGGCCTTAACCTAGCAGGCTAGGTAAAGCAGAGCTGGTGGCATCAAGGGTCCCGGGGGCTGCAGGGCCCTGGCTGGTACAGGAGGCTCAGCTCTCCTGCAGGTCTGCACCTTCCCAGCCGCACGGAGGGCACCAGACCCTGCCTTCTCCAGAGGCTGTACCTGGAAGATGAAGTGCTCGTCAAACTGCGGGTTGGAGGTTTTGCGTTTGGTCTTGGACTGGAGGAAGCGCCGTTCATCGGGCAGCAGGTAGAGCTTCACCAGGGGGCTGCAGGTCTCCGAGGGGGCTTGCAGGTGCCGTGCCTTGATCAAGCCTACCAGCAGCCGCTCAGCCTCCTGCTCGTATTCCACCGAGAACCACAGCCGCCCCAGGCAGCCGGCAGGAAAGTCCGTCTCACTTTTGTCCTCTGGGAACTTGTACAGCTCTGGGTTGATAGCCCCTACCATACATGCATCTCCTATAATAGAGGATGGGAAGGCTGACAGGCCAGAGGAAGGCAAGGCAGGGGCATGGGAGACAGTGGCAAGTTCTGGGCACCCAGCCCATCCTGGCCCATCCCTCTCTGCTGAGCCTCAGCTAGCCTGACCACATCTGCCCCACTCTCCTCATTAGGCTAAACGCATCCCCTCTCTCTGGTGCAGCTCCTCCAGGAAACTTCTCAGCATGAAGGCATTGCATGGCCAGGCTGGTGATCCTAGTAGAGTCCTGTCTCCTGGGATCGGCCCCCATCCCTGGAGGTCAGGACCTGTTTCAAGGACACAGTGCCCATCACCTGGCCTGGCCCCCTTTCATGGTGTCTAGGGCATGACTCAGTGATAAAGCATTGCCTTTCTTCTTCCTCTTCAAATTAGAAGGGCTAAGGTGATTATTGGGTGGTTCCTGGGATGGTCTTTTGGTAGA